GAGAGGACTGATGACTTTCTTTTTGTAGCTGCTTCTGGGGTTTCACCTTGAAGCTTCATAGGTATTGTTGTCACTGAGTGTAGTAATGTTTATTTGCTCTGCTTCTTCTTGTCAGGGATAAAATACATATCTATACTTTTGTGTCCCAGCTGAGTAACAGGAGGAGAAGAGTCTGGTGGAGCAGCAGAGGAACAGTTTCAGCCATTTGGACTCAGCTCAGCCACTACAGAGGAAACAATGACTTCAACACAGGAGGTGAGAAAAATATCTCAGTTACATCTATGGCTGTGCGATATGATGAAATGTATATCGAATGACGATATCTGTCTTTTATATTATGGGCTATCATTTGTTTCGTGGTGTTGCAATATACACCGTTTACAGAAATATTTATTTTTTTGTCTTTTATCACCTATGCAAGAATCACGTGAAAGAGTACGGAGAGAGTTTACGGATAAGAAGCAAAGAAGAGCCGTCAGAATAAACCTTAGACTGAAACATGCTTTCCCCCACAAGCGGCCATCTAATAAATACTCACGAAGAAGATGGCGGCCATTACAACTTGTGTCTAAAAATTTATAGCTTCATGCATCATCAAAACACTCGACTCCAGCTGCAGTGTCTTCAGCTGGGCGACTTGTGTGAAATTCAGAGAATTTACAGAAAATGGATCATTTTGTGATCTACAGGGTGGGCCATTTATATGGATACACCATAATAACATGGGAATGGTTGGTGATATTAAAGTCTTTTGACATTGCCAGCCAAAAGATGAAACCTCTAGCTCTGCATTTAGTTGCTTCAATGCCTAGATGACCTTTGTGGACAATATTGGTGTATTCTTTGTGCAGGGATTGGGGAATATTCAATTCCATTCTTTTCTGAATTTTATAATATAAAAATTTAATATAAAGACTTCGGACTTTACGTTTCCCAATTTTTGCTTTAAGTTATTTTGTTATTTACATAATAATGTAAATAACCTAATAATGATCCTTATTGCTGTTTTAGAGGAGCGGTGCTTCAAAGGATAGCTGCAGATTTCTGTCAGAATCTGCAGATTATACAGTACAAATAAAATGTTCACGTTGTCTTCCCAACAGTTTCACTGACATCTACACTGGATGGCCAGGAAGCGTTCGCGATGTCTTCTCGGCGCTTCTCCGGCGCTGATAATTGGCGTCTGTCTTGTGTAGTGACGTATATATATTATTATATATATATATATATATATATTTCGCTGCACGTCACAACACACACACACCAAGTTTCGATCAAAACACTCTGCTTAGTTTCACTTTCTGTCTGCAGAATTACCACAGCAACTCAAACTGCAGAAAATGTTAAAGTGGAAAAAAAAAATCAATCTGGGTCATTTTGTCCCCAGTTATGTTTTCTTTTCCACAATCAAAAGACAGCACAAATCCGATATTTTCAAATCCGATCTGGGTCACTTTCGTATGTGGTACTGAATCCGATACATATCTGATGTTTTAGAAAGCGACTGCTGTTTGAATGGTCATGTCGCATTAAATCCGTCTTTTACGTCACTGACACAAGACAGACGCCAATTATCAGCGCCGAAGAAGCGCCTGAGAAGACATCGCGAAGGCTTCCTGGCCATCCAGTGTAGATGTCAGTGAAACTGTTGGGAAGACAACGTGAACATTTTACTTGCACTGTATCATCTGCAGATTCTGACAGAAATCTGCAGCTATCCTTGAAGCACCGCTCCTCTGAAACAGCAATAAGGATAATTATTAGATTATTTACATTAATATGTAAATAACAAAATAACTTAAAGCAAAAATTGGGGAAAGTAAAGTCCAAAGTCTTTATATTAAATTTTTATATTATAAAATTCAGAAAAGAATGGAATTGAATATTCCCCAATCCCTGCACAAAGAATACACCAATATTGTCCACAAAGGTCATCTAGGCATTGAAGCAACTAAATGCAGAGCTAGAGGTTTCATCTTTTGGCTGGCAATGTCAAAAGACTTTAATATCACCAACCATTCCCATGTTATTATGGTGTATCCATATAAATGGCCCACCCTGTAGATCACAAAATGATCCATTTTCTGTAAATTCTCTGAATTTCACACAAGTCGCCCAGCTGAAGACACTGCAGCTGGAGTCGAGTGTTTTGATGATGCATGAAGCTATAAATTTTTAGACACAAGTTGTAATGGCCGCCATCTTCTTCGTGAGTATTTATTAGATGGCCGCTTGTGGGGGAAAGCATGTTTCAGTCTAAGGTTTATTCTGACGGCTCTTCTTTGCTTCTTATCCGTAAACTCTCTCCGTACTCTTTCACGTGATTCTTGCATAGGTGATAAAAGACAAAAAAATAAATATTTCTGTAAACGGTGTATATTGCAACACCACGAAACAAATGATAGCCCATAATATAAAAGACAGATATCGTCATTCGATATACATTTCATCATATCGCACAGCCATAGATGTAACTGAGATATTTTTCTCACCTCCTGTGTTGAAGTCATTGTTTCCTCTGTAGTGGCTGAGCCGAGTCCAAATGGCTGAAACTGTTCCTCTGCTGCTCCACCAGACTCTTCTCCTCCTGTTACTCAGCTGGGACACAAAAGTATAGATATGTATTTTATCCCTGACAAGAAGAAGCAGAGCAAATAAACATTACTACACTCAGTGACAACAATACCTATGAAGCTTCAAGGTGAAACCCCAGAAGCAGCTACAAAAAGACAGTCATCAGCTGCAACAAGAACTTGAAAAAAGCCACTGAGCTCCCTGCATACCACCACCTTTACCCAGGGGATGCTGCACCCTGTATATATGAACTTCCATAGACACACAAAGAAGGAGTCCCACTCAGGCTCATTGGTAGCAGCATAAACTCAGCCACCTACAACATTTCCAAGCACCTCATCACCATCCTAGCTCCCCTTGTGGGGAACACACCCCATCACATCAAAAACTCTGCTGACTTCACCAACAAGGTCCACAAACTTACACTTGATCCAGATGAAACCAGAGTGTCCTTTGATGTGGTCTCACTTTTCACTTGTATACCTCCAACCGAGGCAGTGGAGACTGTCAGGAAACAACTACATCAAGACAGCTCCTTAAAACCAGAACCAGCTTCACCCTGATCAGGTCTGCACACTGTTAGACCTCTGCCTTACCACCACATATTTTAAATACAACGAGGGTTTCTACAGACACAAACATGGATGTGCTGTGAGCTCCCCAGTGTGTCCCATTGTAGCCAAACTTTACATGGAGGAAGTGGAAAGAAAGGCTCTTGGCTCTTTAACAGGGACAGCACCGAGTTACATGATAGAGTGAAACAGGGTCTCACAATGGTTTCACTCAGGACCTGCTGACACACACATTTGCTCTTTTGATAAATCAATGGTCAACAGTGGGTCGATGACCCTTTCAGGGGACAACCCCCACGAGGGTTTAAATACCTGGGAGTCCACAATGCAAGGACTCCAGCAACACTTAAGGGAAGATGAACAACTTTAATAATTGACCAACGCGTTTCGGCTTGTGGCCTTCATCAGGGTCATAGTAAAACATTGTAGAAAATTGCTTAAATCAATCAAACCAATCGAAACTTCATAGATAGATCAACTGACATATAACAGGTAGGTATTGGTTAATTGGGGGCGGGCCCCACACTTTGGAAAGCTCTGGGTTAAGTCACGCTTAAGTAAATACTGGACTAGATCATTAATGATGATGACAGGGGGGAGGAGACATTATCCCCACCTGTCTCAAAATAACACGTGTGAAATACATAAGAAGAATACTATGAATATATACAAAAAAGGGGGAAAAGGGCAGTATTTAATAATAAAAGGAGGTTGGTCCAGCAGTTGAATTAAAAAACAAGAGGACATCGTCACACGGGAACAGATTTGTTAAAAGGTCCTAATTTATGTCTCTAAAATGTAAAATCTCTAAAATGTAGACTTAAGACGAGCTGTCGAGAATCCTACTCCTTCTTTGGCTGAAAAAATGAATAAAATTAATTAAATAAACATTACCCATAAACATGCCATCTCGCATTACCCATGCGAGAATAATGTAACTGATAAAATTAGAATAAAAACAAAAAATAAAAAAGGCTCAGTTCAGAAAAACTCATTGATAGAAAAATCCTCATTCAGACCTGTGGGGTGCAGACTCTTAAAGCGGAATATCCAAAATGCTTCTCTTTGTTTCCCGGATAAAATTAATATTACCACCATTTTGGTTTAGTTTAATGGCTTCAATGCCTAGAAAAAATAATGGCAAAATAAAATGCACGCAGGAATGAACTTTGTTCACTCAAAATAAATTTCTCCTCAAAAGGCAAAACTTGCACCAGCAAACTTTTTTTTTTTTTTACGTGCGCTCAGAATAGTGGCACAAAAATAACGCCATAGTCAGCCTCCAGTTAACAACAGTGGTGAGAAACTGCACTACTGAACCTCCACTGACTGAGTAACTGCAGTTTGGTGCTTCATCAGAACTTCATGGCAGGAAGTGTTTCAGAGTGGGGACAGAGACAGTTGCAAAGTTCAGCTTTAGTGAGGCTAAACTCCAAAACCTGTTTTCAGCTAATGACTCTGCTTCTGTCTG